ATTGCTTTTGTCACAAACCAATGAACTAAAAATATACACTGGACTCCAAGGTAGTGCCAGAGGGTAACAGTAGGCACAAAGCTGTGCCAACTTTGCCTTAAGCTGTGATGTGTTTTACTACACAAATGATCCTAATCACATCCCCCAATAATAATTTCTACAGATTTCATGTGCTCCATTTTAAAAAAGGGGGGGAAATTATAAAATTATAAAAATTTTAAAGATTTTTATTTTTAAACTGTATATTACTAAAATATATGTATCTCACTAAAATAAAAGTTCTTGTACTACAAAAAAAATAAAGGGGGGGGAGGGGGAAGAAGAGAGAGGAATAGAAATCTACTTCTTTTAATATGACAATGAATATTCTAATCCAAGAGCTAATGATTAAGGTGCTAAACCCATTACTTTTAAAACTAAATAGCCTCAAAATAGACATGTTTTATTGAAAGAAAACAGAATACCCAGAAATACTATACTTAATAGAACTTAATAAAGGAGTACCATGAGACAAAAGAAAGGTAAGGAATATGTAGAAAATTTTCTTGGATGCCATTTTGATAAAAGTAGTGACCCTAAGGTATAGCAGAGAGTCTCTCTCTCTGCCTTCCGGCCCCCATAAACTCATGTCTCCCTGTACTGGTCATCACCCTGTGTTTCTGAGGATATGCCACAAAGTTCTGAGTGGCCTATATATAGCAATAGATAATTCACCAGTAATTTATAGCACAGACCAAAGTATAATCCAGATACTAAGAGTTAAACACAAAATTAAAAGAAAACAAGAAATTAAACATTAGAAATCTGCTGTCTTCAGAGATTTGCCTTTCTAGCTCTTTCTCATCATTTGGGTCTCAGATCAAATGTTACTATTATGGTTTGGATGTGAGGTGTYCCCCAAAAGCTTACATGTGAGACAGTGATAGAGTTCAGAGAAATGATTGGGTTGTAAGAGTCTTAACCCAATCAGTGATTTAATCCCCTACAGGRATTAACTGAAGTGGTAGAGTGTGGCTGTAGGAGGCAGGAATCAGAGTGTGGCTTTGGGTATATATTTGTATCTGGTGAGTGGAGTCTCTCTCTCTCTGCCTTCTGGTCACCATGATGTGAGCTGCTTTCCTCTGCCACACCCCAAGCACTGAAGAATGGAGCTGGCCTTCTGTGGACTAAGACCTCTGAAACCATGAGCCCTCAAGTAAACTTTTCCTCCTCTAGTCATATCTTTAGTCATACCAGAGAAAAAGTTGACTAAAACAGTTGCTTTAGTTTTTTCCTGACCACACCACTGAAAGAGTGTCTCCTTTCTCCATTTTCTATCACTTTTTACTATTTGTATCATTATGTGAACTTATTGTATTCATTTTTCTTTTTGTCTGCTTTTCTTACAGGAATGTGAGGTTCATTAGTGCAAGAAGTTCTAAGTATTTCTTGCTTGTATATTATCATCATTCAATAAGTTTTTGTTGAATTAATGAGTAAATGAAAGGCATTCTTGGTAGTGTATTAACTTTCTAGGCTTCATATAATATAAAACCTAAATTTGAGTAATTAGCATTAAGCCTCTCATAAAGTACAATAGGAAATGAAACAAAAGGGAAAGAGACAGGGAATGGGCAAAGCAAAAGCATAAAATACTGCAAGAGTTAATGATACTGCTTTATAAAGACATTTATGTTTTACATAAAATTTATATCAGAGGACACACAGATAGTTTGGAAACAATAACAAGACCTTGACAGTAATCAAAGAATTAGAAGTAAAACAACCTTGAGGTAACATTTTGTATCAAGGAGTTTAAAGGAAAAAATGGTGTAATTTGGTGTTAGCTTGTGTATTCTGATAGCATTGCAAGCTTTTATACTTTGGAAAGCAACATCTGAGTACTTGTTAAAGACATTTTTAAACATTTTGACTCACGACTCTTATTCGAGGAAAATTACAAAAAGAAAATAACTCAACAGATAGAATGCCAAGTGTAAAAAAATATTCTTTATAATATTATTTTCCCACAGTAAAACTTAGAATAGCTGTATTGCTCAATAGAGGGGCAATTGCTTCTTTAGTTGAAGCATCAATAATGGATGGAATTTTATGTTACCATTAAATGTTAAAATTGTAAGGACTATGAAGCATCTTGTAACCATGGTCATAYTACAAGAATTTAAAATTGAATGTATATATAGAGAATGGTGGCACATAGCTACGTGATCTTTGTTGCTTTCAGAKAGGTTTTAGCTCTAAAATTAGAGAATTCACTAAAGAAGAAAAACATATTCACATTCTTCTACTATTAGGCCTCAAGTCTCTGAATTGCAGCACTCACCCATATCTCCCCTTGAAATTTACTGTTTTTTTTTTTTGTGGCAAAACACTTTTCTTCCCACCACAACCTGCTTCATATACTCTCAAGAACTGGCAGTACTATGCAAAAAGAGAAATCGCTTTTTAAAATTTGTGGATTCATAGGTTCTTTCCCCTTTCTTTTTTTTTCCCTTAAATATTACATCTACTTTATAATACAAAAATCGAAAACGCAGTTAAAGATTAAAAACCCAGCATCCCCCAGTAATCTCGCTTCATTTCCCGGGAAAACTTGATTGAAAAAGCTGTCCTAAAAGCTGGCGGAGGGCGGGTCTCCAGGAGGTCGCAACAAATAAAACGCAGGCGCACCCGCCGCGCTGCTTTACGGCACGCGCCCCGCCCCTCCAGGTACGGGAAGTGCGGAGCCGGCTAGCATGGCYGCCGGCTGCTTTCCCGGCCGGCTGGCTGCTGCCCTGGCCGCCTTGTTGCTCTTGTCTTTCGGAAGCTTGGCAGCTAGTCAGCTCGAGGTAGGAACTGGGCTATTTTGATGAGTTGGCCGTAGGAGGACGGCTGTGTGGTGGCCGCGAGCACGTAGCGGATGTCCTATACACAGTAGTTTGACAGCAGCCTCCTGGAATCTTCAACCTCACCAGCGCTAGCGGGTGGGGAGAGTGTCTCTGGGAACCGGACAGGACCGTGTCTGGTCAGTTTTAGTCTTTAAAAATGGCCATTGAAAGGAATCAGATCCTTGGAAATAGAGGAGAACTTGCCTTTACTCCTACGTGTGTGCAGTCCTTCCTGGCAGGTGAATGTCAACACCGGAGTGCAGCACCTACTTCCCTCCTACTTAATGGGATTTTCTTTCTTTCTTTCTTTTCTTTTCTTTCTTCTTCTTTTTTTTTTTTTTTTTGGACCAGGGATTGAAGCAGGGACTTGTAATCAATGAGCCACATCCACATCCCTTTTTATTTTTATTTTTTAAATTTTGAGACAAGGACTCGCTAGATTGCTTAGAGCTTCGCTAAATTGCCGAGCCTGGCTTGGAACTTTTGACCCTCCTGCCTCAGCCTCCAGACCCGCTGGGATTATAGGTTTGCTTCACCACACCCGCTACAAGGCTCTTTTGATAACTGTCCGATGGGTACTGTTTTTTATACTAGCCTCCCTGGCGTCGCCCCCTCCCCACCCTTCTTTAATGTGTTTACTAACACTGTACTCAGATGGTTCTTCAGTTCTATAATTTTGATCTCTAGCATCATTTTCAGACTTGCATATTCAGCTGATTAAGGGGCCCAGATAGTCAGCAGACGTTTGGAAATCAGTGTCCAAAGTTTTATCTCCTTTTAGAAAGGCAGGCAATGAAAAACTAAACATCTCTTTTCTCTTGTGTTTTATAGCCCAAAAGTGTTGCTGATAAACTAGATACCCGGGAGTCCCAATTATCGCTAAATTTTGTGTTTTGAACTCTTATAAGTGCCTTTACCTCTGTAGTTTCACTGGTGTAATTCAGGCTATGGTCGTTTCTTGTCTATACTATTGTAATTTATTTTGTTTCCTTTAGGCTCCTATTCTCCTTTACATTAAATCCTATTTTTTTTTTTTCAGTTAGGTTCCATCCCAGAACCGGGGGAGTTTAAATACTGAGTTACATTCCCAGCGCTCCCTACCCCCCCCCCCCCTTTTTTTCTTAACTTTGAGACAGGGTCTCCATAAGTTGCTGAGGCTAGTTTTAAATTTGTGATTCTCCTGTGTCAGCCTCCTGAATCCCAGGGACTACAGGTGTGTGCCATTGTGGCTGACCCCATTGTTGTTTTTTGTAGCTGCACAGTTGCTGTGCTTTTTCCCAGTTTCAGGTTTTATACCTCCAATTTCTTTTGTCTGTTCCTTTCTTAAGTTTCAGTAAAAACAACTCTGTAGAACCTTTCCCTATCTCTTATTTTTCCCTTTACTATTGTTATTGGTACATTCAGCTAATATAGCAGTTATCTATTAGAGCCCACATATTCTTTATGTTTTTTTTACTTGTTTCTTCCTTTTTTCTATCTTTTAAAATTTGTTATAATTAGTTATACATGACAGTAGAATGCATTTGACACATCATACATAAATGGAGTATAATTTCTTATTCTTCTGGTTGTACATGATGCAGAATCACACCAGCCATGTAGTCATATATGTACATAGAGTAATAATGTCAGATTCATTCTCCTATCCTTCTTATCCACAAACCCCTCCCTTCCCTTCACTCCCTTCTATGGAATCCAAAGTAACTCTATATTCTTCCCTAACCACCCCCCTTATTTTGAATTAGCATGTGTCTATCAGAGAAAACATTCGACTTTTGTTTTTTTGAGCCAGTTCCCCCAAACCATGCATTCTTTGTACTGTTATTCCACACTTCTCACTTAGGGTACAGTAATTTTCTAAGTGGTTTGCCAGGAGTCAGTCTTTTTTCCAATCTGTTCTTCAAGTTGCAGCCAGAATAACTTTTTAAAATCCACATCTGATAATGTCATTGTTATATCCATTAATGCTGTTCTGCTATTCTAAAGGTAAAGAACAAATCTTAAATAATTCAGATTTTAAAAAATCTTCATCAAGACCCATAGATCCCCCTGCTTACATCTTCAGTTCTTTTGCTGTTTCTTCCTTTCAAATGTCTAGTTATACTAAACTTCTTTCAGTTTCTCAAACCTTTAGCTCTCTTCTGCCATTGGTCCATATTTCCTCTGTTTGGAATTGTCTTCCCTCCTTTCTTCATCTTTTGATTAACCCAAATGCCATTTCTTTAGGGAAATGTTTTCTGCCAGGTCCCCGTATTATACTTTTTTTTWAATAGAGATTTTCTTTGCTTTATAGGAGTTATAGTTCATTCTTATTTATGCTTAGGATGTGTCTATCCTATTGAAGGCAAGTACTATGGCTATTTTTGCCCATTATAGTATTCYAATCACTCAGGGCAGTGATTGGTACACGATGTCCAATGAATGTGATGAATTAATGAATGTTGCATAGTAAAGTGATGTGTTTGTATGCTTGTCTTCATTATTAAATGCTGGAWTTCTTAAGAGAAACAGCATGCTTTTTAGTGATTTTCATATCACTGTACATTATGTGGTACCTGGAACATATGAGGTTCATTAACTACACATAGTTTAAATAACTTTACAATGAATATATTGTCTAAAAAATTAGAGTTACCACCTCAACATTTTCACTGAAGTCTTAATGAAGTAAGAATATTGGGGCTGAAAAGTGCATTAGAGATTTTTTGGGTCAAGTCTCATTTTCTGCATTAGAAAAGTCATTTAAAGAGCTAAATGACTTACCTCAATCTCACCTAGCCATAGTTTAGCTGAGATCTTCAAATTCCTAAGCCAATACTTTATCCACTATAGGGCTTTGCTTTCTTCAACATCTGGGCAACTATAGTATGGGCAACCATAGTATAGACAAGGGTTTGTAGGGGGAGAAAAAAAATTATATATTCTACTCATACATATTTGAGTAGAACTTTTATTTTATTCTCCCTGAAATTTTCCTGTTAGCCACATAATTAAAACAGCTAATATTTGTTGTGCATTATGTTCTAATCACTATTTTTGCATTTGGTGAGTTAAATAATGCTATTGCCATTTATAGATAGGACAATAGAGGCAGAGAAGTTAAATGACTTTCCTAAATTTATACAACTAGTGAGTAATAGAGCCAGATTTGAACCTAAGCATTTTGACTGTACATGGCAGTATGCTAGACTATGTGTTCAATCAAATATATTGGTGAGTTTGAATAAAGTGCCCAGCACATAGTAGGAATGGGTAGTGAATGAAGTTTTGACAGGAAAGATATGAATTGTTATATGTAGAATCAAGACAGGAGAAAAATCATTCACAGTTTTAAARAACTGAATGGAAAATTAAAAGCATATGAGGAAGATTTGGCTGCATTTGAGATAAAATATTTAAAAACAAATAGTCCTACAATAATATCCCCCAGCAAAAACAAAAACAAAAATTCAGTTGTTTTAAAAAAGTATATTTTTAGTTGTTGATAGATCTTTATTTATTTGTACACGGTGCTGAGAATCAAACCTAGTGCCTCACACACGCCAGGCCAAGGTGCTACTGCTGAGCCCTAGCCCCATTCACCAGTTTTTATGGATGCATCAGCACATCTGTCTGACTTAATATTGTGACCAATATTAAAGAGTGAACATAATTGCAGAGATTTTAGTAAATGAACAGCAATGATTATTAAATGATTAAAAAGACTTCTGTGAGAAATTTGAGTAGTGATTGTTTTGGTATGAGAAGTAGGGAGTTTTTTCTCATGGGGATTAAAACTATGATATTACTAAAAGTGAAATATTAATATTTGAGGAGTTCTTGGCATAAACATCTTCATTGCATAGTGATGAGTTTAATGGAGAACTTATCAGAGTACAATCTAGAAGGAGATTTTGAAATTTGCAGTTTTATGGTATAACTTTTATGTAGTAGTTTCTTATTCTGAACCCATCATTCATGTAGTTTCAATTTTCTAGGGGATTCTTGCTTTGTTCACTGTTAGTAAAGGCATGTGTACTATGTATTCATTCAAAAAATACCTATTCAAAGCCTGGTATGGCGAAACATGTCAATAATCTGAGCTACTCCAGAGGGCAATTTAGTGAGACCCTGAGTCACCAAAAAAAAAAAAAAAAAAAAAAAAAGGGAATTCAGCAGTAGAGCACCCCTAGGTTCAACCCCTAGTTACATGCCCCTTCTCCCAATAAAAAAGTAAAAAATTACTCAAAATTTACTATGTGCCAATTTTTGAAAAATAATTAAAGCATCTGTCCTACTGGAGCTTACAACCTATGGGAAAAGAATAATATRCATAGTAAATGAATTAATGGTATATAATAATGAGGAAAATAAGGTAAAGAAAATGATGAGGTGAAATTGCAGTTTTTTCTTTTTTAGAACTGGGGATTGAACCCAGTGATGCTCTCTCTACACCAAAGCCACATCCCCAGCCCTTTCTGTTTTTTAAATTTGAGTCAGGGTCTCCTTAAGTTGCTGTGGCTGCCCTTGAACTAGTGATCCTTCTGGTGAGGTTGCAGTTTTGAACGATAATCTTGTAAAATGTTTTGAACAGATATTCTATATTCTCTGTAAAGAACACTCTAATAGTTCTCAGGGTATGGGAAGAGTAAAATGTGATTTCTATAATAAACTTTCATTTGAATAAGTATTAATAATTTTTTAAAGCAGAGGCTCTTGCACACGTATCTTTATAGACCAGTAAAATGGCACTATGGTAGAGTTGGCATCCTTTGATTTCACATAGAAAGAGAGTGAGTATCAAGGGAGGTCTCCTCCTCCTCCTCCTTTTTTTTTTTTTTTGTGTGTGTGTGTTTTGTTTGTTTGTTTGTTTGGTGATGCTGAGGATGTAAGGACCTGATGCATGGTATGCAAGGACTCTACCATTAAGCTATATCCTCAGTCCAGGAGTCAAGCATCTTAATTAATGTTACTTTGCTTAATTAGTCTCAAGCAAGACTGAAATCTAGATCTCCAGATTTCTAGTTCAAGGTTATTTTTCCATAGTATTTTAAACTAGGGATTCCTCCCAACCCCGACATAGTATCTTAAATTAAGGCTTCCCCCCCTCAATATAGTATCTTATACTAATTTCTATTTAAGTTTGGTTCTTTATTTTGTTCATAAGGTCAAACATTAGTATCTTTAGAAACTTCCATATATTGATTAAAGTCCATGAGTCTTCACTGTCCATTAACAGTCTTTGGAAAATTGGAGCTTTTTCTTAATAATTTTGCTGTTTTTGACTGATAGGATCAAGCAGAACAATTCTTTAGAAGTGGCCATACAAACAACTGGGCTGTTTTGGTAAGTATATTCTATAATTGTATACCTTGCCATTCACATTAGTTATGTGTCTGAAATATTTTGCATGAATCRAATTTTTGAAAATAAAGTTTATTCTTTCTTTTTGTTTAGAAGAAATTCTTCATTTTGAGTTGGTTATATTTTAAATTGACCACATCAACTAAAACTATTCTAATAATATTCCTTGCCCTCAATTTACTTGTTAGGTGGTAATTTATAAATAAATATAAGAATAAACTAGGGCTGCTATTGTTAAAGGAAGCATTTTTTAAAATGTAGAATTATTTTAAGCTGGAAATGAGTGGATATATCTTCTATGCCTAACATTAGTATATAGTTGCTCTATTTATGCTGTTTTATTTTTATAATTGTTTTTTTCTGTTTACAAAACAGTTAATGATAATTGTAAAAACTTCAAATATAATACGGAAATGTTTAAAAGAAGACATTMATTTTATGTTGTGTGAATTTTACCTCAATTAAAAGAAAAAAGAGAGGGGAAATATCTTCAGTTCACATATTTTAGAGTTAGTATTTTGGTAACCCCCTCTCCATTTAAAGAAGAAAAATATAAAGCATAAAATAGATTCAAGATTTTATATAACTGGGATTATAAAATACCTGCTGTTTTACAGTACCTTAGCTTATTTTGGGATACCTTCTCTGCTGGCAGATATACAGATATCTGCATATACAATACGCTATATTGTTTCTGTTAGGAATGTACCATTATCTGGAAATAAGCATTTAGATGCTAAAATTTTCATTATTTAATCATAGTTGTGCTGAATATTTTTGTTTTACATACATTTTTGTGAATTTGATTGATTTTCTCTCTCTTTTTTTCCTTCTTCTCTTTTTTTGGTAGATTAAGCCTAGCAACACTCTACAAGTAGGCTGCATCCCTAACCCTTATTATTTTTAATTTTGAGACAGGGTCTCGGTAAGTTGCCCATGCTGGCCTTGAACTTGTGGTCCTCTCGCCTTAGCCTCCCAAATAGCTGGGATTATGGGAGTGTTCCACTGTGCACAGCTTAACTGATTTTCTCTTTAGGATAAATTCCTAGGCAAGAAATACTAAGTTGTCTCCAGAAAGGTTTTGCCCTTTCTTCTAAACCTAAGTAAACTGTGCATTAACTTGTTTCTTTTTGGCTGCTGATTAACAATTAAATTTGTCTCAGTTTGCATTGGTTTGATTCTTACTAAGATTTGTTTATTGGCTTATTTTTTTCTTTTGCCTTATTTCTGCTTTGTGTGAATTAACATTTTTAATTTATCTGGATTAAGAAATTTGTATTTTTTCATTCCCCGAACAGAATGCATGTTATCAATTTTACTTTTCTTATATTTGGATGATAGTTTCACTTGTGAGGTTTCACTTAATGACATTTACATGATTAGAAGATAGAATAAGTTTGACTTAATGAAAAAGATATAAAAAGATTATCCTACTCTATTCCCTTTTGCTATAAAAAAATAGCAGAGACTGGGTAATTTATAGAGAATAAAGGTTGATTTGGCTCACATTTCTGAGACTTGAAGGTTCAAGAACATGGTCCTGATATCTCCTCTGTATTGGATAATGGCCTTCTTACTGCATTATGTCATGGCAAAGGGTGTTGCATGGTGAGAAAGGTGAATTTGCTAGCTCAGGTCTCTCTCTTTCTCTTAAAAAGCCACTGATGCCATCATTGGATGGGGGGGGGGGTGATCCCACCCAAATGACCTTATCTAATTCTGATTACCTCTGTAGGGCTTCCAAATATCATTAACATATGAAATTGGGTATTAAGTTTGTAACACATGAACTTGGGATGTCACATTCAAATGATAGCAATGAACTAGAAGAAAGAACGTAAAGAGTAAGTTCAAAGAGGCAGGAAAGAAAGCTGATTTTTATGAAAAAGGGAACAAAGAATGCACAGCATCTCAGAGCCATTAACTCATGCTGGAAAGGAAAGAAAATGGGAGCACAGATTATAAGAGCAGTGGGAGTGTTAAGGAGGTGGGTAGAGGAATTCAGCTAACGTGCAGAACAAACATAAAAGACTATAATTAACTTTACTAACACCAAAGTAGAATGTTTGAATGTTTGAGACCTTATAAGTTTATTAAGAATTGTTTTGTAAAAGTATATAATTATCTACTGGTTGCTATGCATATTCGTATCAATTGTAATTTTATTCTGATTAAATAGAATAGTATAACATTGTCTCATGTTCTTGTTATCCCTCATAGGAGATTTTATGAAGGAATTTAACAAAAGCTGCTTGAGACAAGGAGAGAGGTTTTCAATGATTACTTAAAAAGTGAGGAAAATTATTAGAGCCAGGACATTGTCTATCAAACTGAAAGGATAAATTTGTTCTACAGGAAAATCAGGGCTCTTCTATTAATAGTCTATAAGGAAATCTAAGAAGAGGGAATGTCTATCAGTTGCCAAATTCCTTCATTTTAGAACTAAGAGCCTATTAGCTTAATTACTACCACATTAAAGCTGTCCTCACCTGGGTACCCTCTAAGCAAGTCCCTTTTGAGTTTTAATAACTTGGGTTCCAGATGAAGAATAGAGGGTAAAAAAAGAGATATTTGTATAAATTCATGACAACTGCAGTTTTCATATTTTGTCCAGTATTTTATACATTAGACTTAATACTGTATAGTGAAACTTTAATAAATTGAACTTTCTTAAATGGAAAGTTATGAAATGTGAACAGGACCAACTGAAAGTACTAAAATTGAATTCTTTCAATGTTACGTTGTTTATAGTTTAAAAAAAAAATCTACCCCCCCCCCCCCCGCACAGTTTGGATTAATTGGAAGTTAGTATTGGTTCAATGATCAGGTTTTACTCTTGTAAAATAACTGAGGAACTTTTGCCACAAGAGGGAGATAGAAGGAAAGTTGGATTTCATTTTGGTTTCTAATTTGTTTTGCATAAACATTTTTGACTCTTTAAAAAAATATTGTAAAGATAATCCATATTCATGGGAAGAAAGAGTATAGTGAGAAAAGGTATAAACTGAAAAATTATTTCACCCCTTTTGACCCTCATTTTTATTTTCTAGTGGTAATCACTATAAATTGTTTCTTGTATATCCTTTCAGAAATTTCCAGTGTGTATAATCATGTTTGCATCTAGACTTCTTTCTTTCTCTCTCCCTCTCTTTTATTTTGGGTATAGGGGCTTGAACCCAGTGGTGCTTAACCACTGAGCCACATCCCTAGCCCTTTTTAAAAATTTTTAATTTGATCCAGGATGTTGTTAAATTGCTTAGGGTCTCACTAAATTGCTAAGGCTGACTTTGAACTTGTGAGCCTCCTGCTTTAGCCTCCTGAACTGCATGTGCCACTGTGCCCATCTGTCCTCTCTTTATAAAAAACTATTGGTCTTCTAAATGACTTTACCATATGCCCTTGCTTTTAAAAAATTTCCATTCAGTGAATATTTGACAATTTATATTAGTTAGTATTTTCCTGGTCCTTTCCATTTTCCCATCTTAATTTTCTGTCTAATAAATTGGATGTGAAAAAGAGGGTAGTTTTTTAGGTTTATGCTTATTAGACAGTATAATAGATGCAAAAAGCTTTTGTGTATGCATAAAATGCAATGAAAATATTGGTTTCTATTATGATTAATTCAGATGTAAATTGTTTTATATATTTTTTCTGCTTCAATAAGGGAACCTGTGGATCTTTTTTACTAGCTTTTTTTGGAMAGTAATTTGTTTTCCAGCTCTTTGGTTTTTAGTTTTGCTAGTACAGGCAATGTTATAGTGAAAAGCCTTCAGTACATATTTTTGCATACTTGCATGAGCTAAATGAAAAGATATGTACATTTTCAAACTTGATGCATATTACAGATTACCTTCTTAAAAGCTTTATATTAATTTTTACATATCCATCAGTCAGCTCTGAGTACTTATTTCCTCACATCCTTGACAAGGATATTCATTAGAAGAGTTTTTGATATTTATCAATCTGATTTKTTTTTTTTAAAGAATGGCTGAAATYGAGTGAGCAAGTTTGAATTTCATTGTCCATTTTTAATGCTTTTGATATGAAATGCTTGTTCTTATCCTTTCCTCTTTTTAAAAATTAGTTTGTTCATTTTTCTTAATAAATTATAATTGAGAAAATTATAATTTGAGTTTTTCATTTGCTAGGATTTTAATGGTATTTTTGACATATGGAGTTTTATATTTTTATGTGATCAAAAATTGTTGTCTTTTCCTTATTGGATTCTAGGATGAAAATTCACTTTAATTAAAAGATATCAGATAGTTCCTTTTTATTTGACAGAGGCAAGAACATTTATCTTATTCTCAAAATTGTCATTATATGTAGTATAAGCACAAGAAGGAGTGTGCTCACTTAGATACACTATTAACTGACCCTAGTCTCTGTTTACCTCCTATATAATGGATTCTTAAGACACTAACTCTTGAGTTATAGTGTACGATTTTGCTAGAACCACTGATATCATTTTTAGTTAGTCTTTTTTTTAAGTGTTGAATTATTTCTCATTTTCCAGTAGTTCATTGGGCTTATTATGTATTTTCTTATGTATATTTTAAACTGCTTTGTATAGTATGTTTTAGTCTTATCCTCAATGTCTCGCAAGGAAGCAATCAAGAGTGAAATAAATATTATTTAACCTAAAGTAGCTAATTTTCTCTATTCTGTGAAGAGATTAAGGGCATTTTCTTTGATTCTAAACAATTTAATCTTTTACAAATAGCGATCTTATAGAATTGCAGAAATTTAGAGTAACTATGTTGGTTCAATATTTGATTAAATTCCTTGAAGATTTTTTCCTCTTAAACTGAATGGTCTTTTTGTATTTGTTATGGTATGAAAGGCCTGTCTTTAGAGAAATGGTTTATTGACTATTTCATGTTTCTAAGCCTGACATTCTTTCTTCAGGCATTTCTATGTCATACCTAAAGAGAAATAATTCTGTAAATCCATGGCTTACTTCAACTCATAAAAATCATATATTTGTTTTAATACTTTAGGTGTGTACATCCCGATTCTGGTTTAATTATCGACATGTTGCAAATACTCTTTCTGTTTACAGAAGTGTCAAGAGGCTAGGTATTCCTGACAGGTAAGAAGTCTTAATTAATTTTGAACTTCAGTGAAGATAACCCTTAGATGACTTGTTACTATACTTTGTGTTTCTTTTGAAAGAGGTAAAGAAACCTTATTTGAATTGTTTTTGTTCTTGTTAGAACAAACCTTTATGTGTAAAGCAGATGTTACTTAAGATATTAATGACATATTACATAAAAGAACATTCAAAATACAGCTTAAAAACTAGATAAAGTACAATTATTTAGTGTTATATATTTACTAAATGCTTAGGATTTTTAATTTCAGGTAACAGGGCAATTCTGACTGATTTAGGAGAAAAGGGACTGTTGATAATATATTGATTAGTTCAGTTCCTGGGAAGGCCGTAACCTTAAAAAGTCAAAAACAAGAAAGACTAGATAGCAGAAAAGACATAGCTAGAAATCTTGACATAAAACCAGTCTGGTGACAAACAGTGAGGCTGCAAATTGAGAAAGGCTAGAATTGACTACAGCATGGCTGCTCCTTTTGCCTTTGGAAACTTAATGTTGATGCTGCCTCCTTCTACCAGAATCCAACCTTTACTGTTCCAACTTTGTGCTATCTCCAGATTTTACTGGGTAAGATAAGAAGAGTAATTGGTAGGAGTATGTGGCATTATTGGTTTTTATGGGCTGTCTCTTCTATGAAGATTAATAAAGTGGGGGCATTTCCTAGTTACAGGGAGGGAGTTCAGGTACTAGGCAGTACCCCATACCTCCACCGGGATCATGTCCTCTGCATTTGGTTTACCTTTGGTAAATTTGTTTTTGATAGTAACAAAGCAGTAATAGCAAGAAACTGTAGTCAATTGAGTTATTTATTTGATTTATTTAGTACCTGTGTAGAAAGAGCTTTTGTAGTGAGATTGAGTTTGAAATCTGGCTTAAGATGATTTTGATTACATCACTTCACATACTAAGCCTATTTTCTCATCTTTTACCTGGTGCTTATAGTTCCTTCTTTGCAGAATTCAAGTTCTTGCTATTAAAAAAAATGGAGGTATGAATAAAATGCTGCTGGAGCAGAAGGCAAGCAGTATATGACTCAGGAAATGAAGCTATACTACATTCTGTGTAAACAGATCATTTAATCCTGAGAAACCAACAAAACTATAATTTGATTCTTGTGATTCATCTGGAAGTTAAGGCAACTAGTCTTAAGTTTGGAAACTTAAAAAATTAAAGCTTTTAAAAATTACATTAAATTAAGTCTGAGAAAGAGATTGATTTGTTGTATAACATATACAGGTATAATTCTTGTCATTTGTCAATTGGTTCTTCTAATAGGTCTATATGCTTAGTCCTTTGATTTTTTTTATATCTTTATTTATTTATTTTTATGTGCTGCTGAGGATTGAACCCAATGCCTCACATATGCTAGACAAGTGCTCCACCACTGAGCCACAATCCCAGCCCTAGTCCTTTTTTTTTTTTTTTTAAATTTTTAGTTGTAGATGGATACAATGCCTTTATTTATTTATTTATTTTATGTGGTACTGAGAATCGAACCCAGTGCCTTACACATGATAGGCAAGTGCTCTATCCCTGAGCCACAATCTCAACTCTAGGCCTTTGATTTTTAACTGCTGTTACTTCTCTGCCATATTTATTCCTCTGGGGAATCACTATGAGTGATAGTAGTGGAACAACTGTAATTTTTACTTTGGTAAACAAATTTTCAGCTGTTCTGGGAATTAATTATTAGGATACATTTCAACAGAATAAGATTTGGAAGATATTTTCAAAAATAGAAAATAGCAATAGAATGTATTTTGTATTTTATTCATAGTAGGTTTGTGCCTAGTCTTCTGAAGAATTTTCTTTAAAGACTTAATTCTGTGCCGGGTGATTGCTTGTCTATATCTCTGTTTATGAAGTGTTTGTTCTGGAGGTGAATTGGGAATTTAAACTACTTTTTATTTAATAAATAGAAGTCAATAGAGCCAGGTGTTGTGGTGTACACCTGCAATTCCTAACCACTGGGAGGCTGAGATAGGAAGATTCCAAGTTCAAAACCAGCCTAAGCAATTTAGCAACTTAGTGAGACTCTGTCTCAAAAATAAAAAAATATAAAAAGGGCTGGGGATGTGTCTCAGTGGTTTAGTGACCCTGGGTTCAATCCTTGGTATCAAACAAACAAACAAAAAGAAGTCAATAGAAAATATTCTGTTTTGCTTTTGGCCTGTTATGGTAATTGTTCCTGTCATTGGTAACTGTGATCTAACTCCTACCTGGAATGAGTATAAAAATAATAATTAAGTGTTGGTCATAAAGTAACAAATTTTTATGAAATAACCATTTGAAAATATAGTATCATTAAGGACMGTTTTTACATTTAAAACTTGAATTTCAAAATACATGAATTCATTTTATATGTTATACAACATTTCAAGTTAAAATGGTATTGTCATAACTTCTGTTCTAATACCAGAAATGATTCTGAGGGAAATGATTAGTTACTATATTAATAAAAATTGTGATGAGTAGTGTTCTGGTTCGTTTTTAAAGGAGCAGTTTGTTTTTGTCTTGAGATGTAAAGTATTTGTATTTATATTTTCCATATRGTTTAATTAAGAAATTTGTTCATGTTATAAATAATTTACTAAAATGCATGACATAGATGATTGTCATTTGCTTTGAGAGTTTGCACCAATTCTGTAGGTCCTATTTGAAAGACTACAGAGGTTATATACCTACTCTTGTTCTGATTTCTCTCTAGTCTTCTGTTTGTATTTCACATATTTCTGCCACGCTAAGTTCTTTCTCATGCCTGAATAATTATCTGTAGTTCATGGCTATCCCAAGCTGTTTTATTTTTATTTTTTATTTATATATGACAAGGGAATGCATTCTTATTACACATATAGAGCACAATTTTTCCTATCTCCAGTTGTATACAAAGTATATTCACACCAATTCGTGTCTTCATACCTGTATTTTGGATGATAATGATCATCACATTCCACCATCATTAATAACCCCATGCCCCCTCCCTTCCCCTCCAACTCCTCTGCCCTATCTAGAATTCATCTAATCCTCACATGCTCCCCCTCCCTACCCCACTATGAGTTAGCCTCCTTATATCAAAGAAAACATTCAGCATTTTTTTTTTTTTGGTTTGACTAACTTGACTTAGCATTATCTTCTCTAACTTCATCCATTTACCTGCAAATGCCAATTTTATTCTCTTTTAATGCTGAGTAATATTCCATTGTGTATATATGCCRCATTTTTAAATCCATTCACCTATTGAAGGGCATCTAGGTGGGTTCCACAGTTTAGCTATTGTGAATTGTGCTGATATAAACATTGATGTGGCTGTGTCCCTGTAGTATGCTGTTTTTAAGTCCTTTGGCTATAGACCGGGGAGATGACCATACTTCCAAAAGCACTATACAGATTTAATGCAATTCCGATCAAAATTCCAATGACATTCCTCATAGAAATAGAAAAAGCAATCATGAAATTCATCTGGAAAAATAAGAGACCCAGAATAGCTAAAGCAATCCTTAGCACAAAGAGTGAAGCAGGTGGCATCACTATACCAGACCTTAAACCATACTACAGAGCAGTAGTAATAACAAAAACAGCATGGTATTGGCAGCAAAACAGACTGATAGACCAATGGTACAGAATAGAGGACACAGAGACTAACCGCAAAGCTACAATTATATTAGACAAAGGTGCCAAAAACATGCATTGGAGAAAAGATAGCCTCTTCAACAAATGGTGCTAGGAAAACTGGAAATCCATGTGCAACAAAATGAAATTAAACCCCAATCTCTCACCATGCACAAAACTCAAAATGGATCAGGGACTTAGGAATAAAACCAGAGACCCTGCATCAAAAAAGTAGGCCCTAATCTCCATAATGTGGGATTAGGCCCCAACTTYCTTAATAAGACTCCTGTGGCACAAGAATTAAAATCAAGAATCAATAAATGGGATGGACTCAAACTAAAAAGTTTCTTCTCAGCAAAAGAAACAATCTGCGAGGTGAATAGAGAACCTACATCTTGGGAGCAAATATTTAGAGCACTAATCTCTAGGGTATATAAAGAACTCAAAAAGTTAAACACCAAAAAAACAAATCTATAAATGGGCCAAGGACCTGAACAGACACTTCTTAGAAGAGGATATACAATCAATCAACAAATATATGAAAAAATGCTCATCATCTCTAGCAATCAGAGAAATGCAAATCAAAACTACTCTAAGATATCATCTCACTCCAGTCAGAATGGCAGCTATTATGAAGACAAACAACAATAAGTGTTGGCAAGGATGTGGAGAGAAAGACACTCATACACTGCTGGTGGACTGCAAATTGGTGCAGCCAATATGAAAAGAAGTATGGAGATTTCTTGGAAAATTGGGAATGGAATCACCAACATGTTTTAATTCTGAATCACTTGTGGTGCATATTGAAAATACAAAGTTCTTAGCACCCCCTGGAGATTTGAGAGATTCTAATCCATTAAATTTTCAGTGTGGCCCATACAAAGCTTGGTGTTTGGTTCTGATGAACACCCAGATTTGGGGAGCACTATTTGGAGGTTGATGACCAGCATATCATTGAGGGCAGCTTCTTCTGCCCAAAGGAGTCCAAGCCACYGTAAACCTTATATCTCAAATAATTAACAAATAATAAAACACACTCAGAAATATATTTACAGACATCGAAGCCCCTAATTGATCTAGTCCACGCCGGTTCTCGAACTAGACAAAGAGAAAACGCTTCTGGTGGTTTATTTAAGGGGAACATCAAAGGCAGGGATAAGGTTTCAAGGGCAGAATCTTGCACCCTGATGTCTTTTGCAGTCAGCAGGTTGATTGACATCTTGGCGAGTCACACCTGTCTCAGGTGCTGTGTGGACCAAGGCAGAGTGGAAAGAGATTTACACTGTCCCTGGGCAGTTGACTAGAGGAAATGTCCACTGTCCATTCCCAGACACCAGATGTCTCTATCCATGAGGCATCCATGTGCAGTGAC